GCCCAGCCACGTCTGCGGACTCTGGGCACCTGAGAGGGGACTCCAGGCCGTCCTGGTCCTGCTCCATGCGTGGGTCGCAGCACCCAGCGACCCGTTGTCACTCTGGCCAGCAGGGATCAGATTGGCCCCAGGGTCCCCAAAGCTCAGCCCACAAAACTGAATCCTGGTGGTTCCTCCACTAGGAGATCCTCTCTGGCTGATGAGACCAGAGGCTGGTGTCAGGCTTCCCTCCCAACATTCTATTGATTTGCAAATGCACCATTGGCATGCAAATGGCTGAGGTCACCAGCAAAGCTCCAAGTCCTCCCTGGGGAACCAGTGAACAAAAGAGGCGCCTCTAGACCCCAAGAAAGCGCAGTCGGTACCTGAAGGGCCTCCAGACCCTGGAACCATGGCAAGTGGCCAGAGGAGTGGTCATGACGGCAGGACCCTGGGTCTGTCCAAGAGCCCATGTGTTGCTGGGACCTGGTTCCCGAGTCACCTGGGCCAAAGGGAAGGTGACAACAAATGCTTGGAGGCACAGGGCCCCTGCCCTTGGGGAGGACGTGGCTGGGAGCCCAGGAGACGGAAGTCCAGGGATAGGAGCCCAAGCCAGAAGGGTAACGCCTCTCTTGGAGCCTCCAGACACGCAGAGGTCCTGGGGGCTGCCTTGCTGAACACAGGATTTCTGGGTCTTCCTCCTGGGTCTTGGGCTGACCCCTGTAGCCCCATCGCATGCCGACGGGTGTTGAGTTGGTTGTGGGTGACAGAAGCGGCCGCGAGGTGGCAGTGCTGACTCACACTTCACCGCCCGAGGCGCCTGAGGCTGGGGTCCGCCCTCGCCACGTCCCGGGTCCCGGGTCTGCAGTGGTCCACGGGGGTCATCAAGGAGATGGGCACATGTCTGAGCCACGCCCGGCCACATCATCTGAGTTGGCCAAGGCCGAAAAGAAATTGGGGCGACAAGAAAGAGTACTTGGGGGCAGTGAGGGATCCCCATGCCTGGGATGCCGCGGTGTCGGCTTCAGAAGGTGACCCTTCCTCCGGGTGCCTCCGGCAGCACAGGGCCCTGGGGGCTGCCTTGCCAGGAACAGGTGGATTTTAGGGTTCTCCCCCTTGCATCGGGTGCCACCCCCAAGCTGATTGCATGCCCTGAACGGTGCCAAGCCCGCTTGTGGGTGTTGGAGTCAGCGGTGACCGCGAGGTGGCGGCACCAACGCACACATTACAGCAGTCACGGCAGAGGCTGTGGTCCACCCGCGATATGTCCCGGGTCCGCCCAGGCTGGATTCCGCAGCGGTCCACGAGGGTCATCAGGGAGATGGGGTGCTTGTCTGAGCCACTCCAGGTCAGGCCACGTCCGCAGTCCCTTAGCCGCGGGTCCCCTCGAAGCCACCAGTGCCGTGGAGGGGGACTCACATCACATCTCCCAGACACGGTGGTGACAGCACCTGCCGCCACCTTTGGCGCACCGGACCCCACACACCGAGGCCACCAAAGACAGCCCCCCACCCCCTGGCTTTTTAATTGAGCTGGCTTCCAAGGAAACTCTCCCAGTCCCTCAGACCCCAGGCAACAAGGCATTAACATCCATTCAATTCCGGTGTTCAGATGCTAATGATCTGGGCTCGTGGCTGCCTCCCACCCGCTGGGGAGGTCCTCCTGCGGAAGGTCCAGCTTCGGAAGGTCCTACCAGTCTCCCGAGCACAGCCACCAAAGTGGGGTGCGGCAGACAGCCCAGTGTCCCGGAGGGGGTCATTAAAAGGTGGGGATACTGACGTGGCGACCGCGCTCTGGGGCCAGGGTGCAGGTCCCCACAAATGCGCCCTGGGATCACGGCGGGTGCGGGGAGGCGCGTGTCCCGACCACAGCGCACTTGGTCTGTCCTAGAGCCCACGTGCTGCTGAGAGCAGAATCCGAACCGCACCCTAGGACCTGGTCCTGTATCAGCAAAGAGGGGATACTTGGGAATCAAAGGGTCCCTGCCCTCGGGTGATGAGGACTTGACGGGAAGCCCAAACTCTAGAGGGAAATGTACCACCCTAGACCCGAGGCGGCACGGGATCCTGGGGCCCGAACGCAGGAGGATTTGGGGGTCCCTCCTCGCACGGGGTGCTGACCTCCAGGCTGGGTGCACTCTCTGGGTGGCCCTGAGCCCGTGGGGGCATGGAAACAGCAGTGACCGCGAGGTGGCGGCACAGACTCACATATCACTGCCCGCAGCGAGGCTGGGGTCCGCCCGCAGGGCGTCCCGGGTCCGCTCAGGCCTGATGCCGCGGCGGTCCACGAGGGTCATCAGGAAGACGGAGTGCTGGACTGAGCCACTCCATCTGTCACCCCCACCCGCGTGGTTGAATCTGGGGAGACGGGAGAGAATACGTGGGGGCCGTGAGGGATCGCCACACCCGGGATGCCGCGGAGTCCATCTCAGAGAGAGAGACCCTTCCCACCGGGGCTGCGGGCAGCAGGGGATCCTGGGGGTTGGCTGCCTCGCCGAGTGCAGGAGGATTTCGGGGCCCTCTTGCCTTGTCTTGAGCCAAGCCCCAGCGTCCCATCGCTCACCCCTGCACCCCTGCACCCCTGCACGGCGCTGAGTCGGTTGTGGGTGTGGATACCGCAATGGCCGCGAGGTGGCGGTGAGGACTCACATCTCCACCCGGAGGCTGCCGAGGCTGGGGTCTGCTTGTGGCGAAATGTGGGGGTCTGCCCCATCCTAACTTGGGCGTCCATCCACGGCAAAGCCTGGCTTTTTCCCCCACAGAAAAGCTGGGGGTTCGCTCATGACAAAGGCCCGGGTGTCAGGTTTGGAGGCGAGCATCCAGCACTTTACGGCGGCTCTGCCAGAGGACCGCCCCGAAGTGCGTGGACTCCAGCTTCTTTGCCTACGTGTGCTGCATCCCCGGCGCCAACCCCGTAGACTTGGCGGGCGGACCCGGTGCGCCGCGGGGCCCCGATACCCCCGGCAAGGCCAGAGTGGTCACCCCACGGACAGGACGGACAAGAGTGTTGAGGGATCTTAAAGCTCTCAGGTCTTTGTTCGGTCCACACCCCCAGTGCCACAGGCAGGCGGGTGCGCAGGGTGCCGGGGCAGGACTAGGAGGCTACACAGCTGGTCACCAGAGCGCGCCTGTGAGCCACAAGACGGGAACGCGGGGCACCCCGACCGCAAAGGGAAGCCTTCCTTGCGGGAGACGCGATCCCCCCAGTGTCAGATGGTACTGGGGCTGGGAATCGGCCACCCGCCCTGGCCACTGGGACCCCTGGTGAGCCCCTGTTCCCCCCCCCCCCCCACCCGCCCCCCGCGACACACACACATGCCTCATGTGACTGCTCCCCGTGGACTCCCAGGACCCCAGGGGGAGCGTGGGGTCTCAGCCATGGTGGCGACTGAGGGTGACTCAGTCCTGCCCCCAGCCTCCCCGAGCCCCCAGCCGGAGCCCCCGTCAGGAGCAGAGTGCGAGCCCAGCGGTGGCTGGGCGGGAGCAGCGTTCTTGGTCTGCCCCGAGGGGACCCGAGTGCTCCGACCCAAGGGGAGGGGGACGTTTGGGGACAATGCCAGTCCCTGTGTAGGCGATGCCAACAGAGGGGTGCGGAGAATGCCCTCTTTGGAGAATTCCGGGACGGGTGTGCTGGACCGGTCTGGGGCGGAGGCGGGCCTTGCGGCGGCCCCGAACACGGTCGCTGCTCCCATTGGCTGGCGGGGCAGGGGCGGGAATTCGGGGCGGGGCCACCCCAGTTAGAAAAAGCCCGGGCTAGGGCCGGCGAGCAGGGTGCGGGAGGGGGTGGTGGGTGGGGTGGGATGGGGGGGTTCGGGGGAAACTGGGGAAGCGGGGGAGCCGAGGGGTAACCAGGGAAGCGTGGGGTACTGGGGGCAACCAGGGGAAGATGGGGACGGGGTACAGGGAGGCTTGAGTGGGCCAAGGATCACCTTGGAAATCTGGGGTCTGGCAGGAGCGGCAGAAGGTTGGGGGGCTGGCTTGGGCAGGGCTGGAGGGCACCTGGCGGGAGTGTGGCGTGGGGTCCCAGGTGTCTTGGAGTACGGGTGACATCGGCATGGGATGGGCCCAAGCTGGGGGTGTAGAGGAAAGAGGGGGGAGCCAGACATTCATCCCGGTCAGTTTTGGTTTCAGGACGTGGCGGCTGGTGGACGAGGGGAGCTGGAGAGAGATTCGCCCGGGACCTGGGGCAGTGGGGCCGTATAGCTGGCAGCCGTGGGTAAGTGAGGACAGCGGTCTGTCGGCCAGGTGAGTCCCCTCCCCTCCCTGGGCCTTGCTCTGCTGGCCTTCTGCAAGAAGGGGGCTTCGGGGAGCAAGGGCCAGCGAGGAGAAGCGGCTGACCTCCCGGCAGAGCGGCGGGACGAAGGAGAGCGGTCAGCACAGGTGACATTGTCTCGGGGGGAGCTGAGACCGTGCGGGCTGGGGGGGGGGGGGGGCCGCGTGCCCTTCCCAGGTAGAAAGAGCATTTCGAGAGAGCAGGCAGGAGATGAGGCAGGGCTGCCGGCAGGAGAGGTGACAGGTGGCTGTGGGGATCCAGCACGTGCGGGGTGGGGGTGGGGGCACCAGGCCCGGGTCGGACAGGATGAGGTGGGGACTCAGGACGCAGCAGGGGTCCCCAGCCGCCGCCACATCTCACCCACTGAAATTCATTTAGTAGCAGGTACAGGAGCGGCTCTGGCCAGGCCAGAGCTTCGAGGGCTGGGGAGCGGGAAAGAAGGGGCAGTGCGCGGGGTGTCCCGCAACAGGACGTCACCGGAGGGAGCGGCGGCCGCAGGTACCGGCTCCGGAGAGATTTCTGCAGCGAGGAGGCTGCTGCGGGCCCAGCCTGCGGACGCGCCGTTCCCACGTGGCACTGCGGCCCAGGGTCTGGCGCGGAGAGGGCCCACAGTGTACTTGGTGACACTGTATGCCTTCACCGCTCAGCCCCTGGGTCTGGCATGACAGACAGGACAGCACCAGGGGAGTCAAGGGCACTGGCGAGACCCGACTAGGCGAGGCGGGTGGGGTGGAGTGAATGAGAACTCTGGTGGGGGGCCGGGGCGCAGGCAGGGGTGAAGGGCGGGAGCCTGGCGGCGAGTCCGCCGGGGCACTGGCCTCCAGAGCCCGTGGCCAAGGTGGGCCTCTGCGGGCGACGACGGAGCAGGGATCGGTGCCTCTGGACTCGGGACTGGAGACGAGGGTGAGTGCCCGCTGGCGTGCCCGACACCCCACCGTCCCCCCGCCCGCCCACCGCCTCTGCCCGCGGCTCAGCTGGCACCCCCTCCCCTTGCCCACAGCCAGGTCTCCAGATCGGGTGATGTGCTGCTAGCCTCCGAAGGCCGGGCGCGAGGCTGCGCTCAGAGAGGCATGACATGGTCCGGTGTGACGGCGAGGACAGACGTGACGCCGTCCGGCCTTCCTGGTGAGCGCGGCTGTGAGGCTTGGCCCCCGCAGGCAGACCCACCCGCAGGGCGTCACCCCTGAGCGCTCTTGCTTCCCTAGACCATTCTAGGCTGGCGCCGCGGGGACCCGGAACACCCAAGGGCTCGTTCCTCTGCGCTCCTGAAGGAGCCGACACATGACTGCTGCTCTCTGGACCCCTAGAACCCTCAAAACGACAAGGTGAGGAGTCCCCGGCCAGCCGCGGGCAGCGGGCGCGGGCCAAGGAGCAGGGAACTCACCGTGTCCTGCCCCGCAGAAATGGTGCTACCCAGCTCACGCCTGGGCCTTGGAACTGGGACTTCTTCAAGTCCCCTCTAGCTCTGACTCAAGAATATGCTGCATTCTGGAACCACTACACTCCTTGACTCAGGAATCGGCTCTGGAAGGTGAGTGCGGGCACCCTTCTGGAAGCTTCCGGGGCCTCCCTGCCGGGTCCCCGCTCACACGTCCTGTCGCTCTCTGCAGGTCAAGCTACAGGAACGAGACCAGCCCGACAGCAAGACCGTCGGAAGCGAGCAGCACCCGCGGCGGCCGCCACCCCGCCTGGCGCCTCCGTCTCCGTGGCCACCCTGCCGTGGACAGGCGACCACCAACCAGCCTCCACGCCCCCATGCCCCTCACCCTCCTTGTCTTCTTCCTTTCCTCTGTGCTTTCATTTCCTTTCTTTCCTTTCCCCTTTGCTCGGGACTCAAAGCCTCCGTGACTCCGTTTCCCCGTCCCTCCCGAATTCAATTTGCACTAAGTCGTTTGCACTGGTTTGGAGTTCTGGGTCTAGCCTCGAGTCCCCGAGCGCGTGTGCAAGCAAGCTGCTGAGTGCCCGCACCGTGCCCAGCGCCCACCTGCCGTCCATCTCTGCCTGGGGGTGCCTGGGTGCGGCCGAGTGTGTGGGGCCCCACCCTCCCCTTTCCTAGTCTGGGAGCTCCAAACACCGAGCAAACCTTGAAGCATTCCGTTGTAGAGCAGCTCGCTCTGTGCCCCTCCCCGCCGGGGTTTCACCAGAAGCCCTGGACTCATCAATAAACTCAGTTACAGCAATTTGTCTCAGGGACTCTGGAATCCGAGCTGTTTGCCTGGGTGGGGGTGGGGGTGGCTCCGGCTGGGGGAGGTGGGCACGGAGAGGGTGGGGCACAGGATGGGGGGCATGAAAAAGCCATAGAGGGGGGCACAAGGAATGGGAAGGTCACACATGAGCAGGGGCACAGGGCGGGGGGTGTCACAGGGCGGGAGGGGCCACCGGGACGGGGGGGGGGGAGCATCACAGGGCAGGAAGGGGCACAGGGATGGGGTGAGGCACACGGAAGGGGGGGCATAAGGGAGGCACACGGCCAGGAAGTGGTTATGGCCCAGGAGGAATGGGGGAGGGGGTGGATGAGGAGGGAGGGCAGGGAAGGGCATAGGACACAGGGAGGGGCCTGTGGGATGGGGTGACAGGGAACGGAGACATGGGGTGGGGCCCAGAGGGGAGAGGTGGGGGGGCAAGGGAGCCCTCAGCACGAGGGACAGGACGGCACAGAATCTCCCCAAGCCCCTATCCCGCCACACAAACTGCCTGAGGGACGACACCCCTGGGCCTCCCTGGGCCCATCTCCCCCGAACCATCCGAGGAGAGCAGGCCTGACACGTGGGAGGGCAGAACTGGGGCCAGGCAGCTGCCCCAGGGAGGGGGGCGGCGGAGCTGAGGCAGCCGAAAGGGGGAGAGGCAGAGGGGAGGTGACAGGTGAGGGACGAGACCGGGGACGCGTCCCACCGGGATCCATGGATCTGTGCCCTATTTGCAAGTACGGCCCCCATGGGCCTGTGGCTGGCGCCCCTGCCCAAGAGAGCCACTGGGTCGGGGACCCCAGGGCTCATAACCCTCTGCAGATGCTGGGAGTATGGGGGCGCAGCTGTGGGAAATGAGGCTGGGGTCCTCGGCCCCTTCCCCCCGCCCTCTCCAGCTGGCAGACCAGAGGCCAGAAGCCCCAGAGCCCCGCCTGGGCGCCTGGGCCCTTCCCCACGGGCTCACCTCGCAGGTTCCCCATTGTCCTCAAGTGTGTGTGTGTCCCCCTCTGGGGCCCCCGCCCCTCCCACCACACCGATACTGGGGACGAAGAGCTGGGCCCTTGGGACTCCCAGGCAGGTGGTCGCCAGGGAGCAAGGGTGACCGAGGGCCTCACACGGGGCCCCTTGGGTGTCCCCTGTCATTCCCCAGGGCCGCGGGCAGCGGCAGCGACAGACCGTCCGTCTCAGGCCCCCGGGGCCGGTGAGATGAAGGAATCTTAGGTGTCAAGGGTTAGGTCTAAAACTGGCCTTTATTGTCAGCGTGTTTCTCAGCTAGTGCTTCGAGAACCGGGGCCAGCTTCCTGGGGTGCTGGCCGGAGGGGCCCTGGGGATGGGAGAGGGCAGGGGTGCTCTGCAGAACACGGGGATCGTGGGTCCCAGCAAATGGTAGGCAATCCTCTGGTCCCCCAAGTCGGCGGGGCCGGTGGCCTCAGCCTGTCACTCGGGGCGGTGAGTCACAGCCACACTCTCACCCTGAGGCCCGCTTGGGAAATGGAGAGCATCTGGTCCGGAATGCGGGAGGGTGGGGTGGCCCCTTTCCACACCCTCCTGGGGGCCCCTAGTGCACAGACCTGACTCTGTCCCCCCAGGCCTGCCCCGCGGTGTGCCCATGCCCCTGTGCCCTCTGAACCCACAGGGTTCAGGCAGGGGCGACCCCAGGGCCAAGCAACCGGGAGGAGACCTGAGCGCGGGGAGGGCCGGGGGTCGGCGAGCACGGGAAAGGTGAGGGGCAGCCTGTCCCCCGAGGACTGGACGGAGGCCGCTGGGGCAGAAGCCACAGGCCAAGGCTCTGCAAACAGGTCATGAGCCCCAGCCTCGCCCAGGGACTTGGAAAACAGAGGTGGCCTCCCCCGCCCTGACAGAGCCCCTCCAGGGAACAGGGACGGCCAGGTTGGAATGTGTTTACCTTCGGCCCAACCCGATTTCCTGCTTTTTAGAGAAGGGGCTCACAGAGGCTGTCAGACAGGCTCCTGGCGCCCCCCACCACCCAGAGGCGCTTTCAAAATGCCCCCGCGCCCCGAGTTAAGTGAGTTAAGTCGTGTCTCGCAGCAAACAGGGGCTTGAATTTCACTCCCAAGCCCGGCTCAGGGTGGGGGGGCGGTGGGGGTGGGGGCCGGCCGGCTGCAGAGGTCCGGGAGGGGGTCTCCGGGAAGACTGAGGCCCGGGGCTCTGGCCGGTCCCCACCCCCGCTGGGCACCCAGCTCAAAGCGGCCGGGCGTCATTACCCTGGACCCTCCCCCAGCTGCCCTCTGTGGAGGGTCTAGGCTAGCGAATCATCCGGCCTGGGGGAGACGGGACTTAACAAGAGTGTGTCTCCACGTGTCCCTGCGTACCACGTCCCCGTGTCCACGCGTGGGGGTCTGTGTGTCTGTACGTCTCTCGTGTCCCGTGTGGCCCTGTGTGCACCCAGTCCGGCGTCAAGCTGTGAGCTCTCGGGGTAGGCAGCCCGAAACGCCTCCCTGTCCTGGGCCGTGAGCGAGAGCCCCTGCTTGGGGCGCTGAAGGTAGGCCTGTCCTACTTGGGGCGCTCTGTGGGGTCTGCCGGCCTCTGTGTGGCCTAGCCCCGTGTGGGGGCCAGCGTCCCTGGAGGGTGGACATCTGAGCCCGGCTGTGTGTGTCCTGTGCCTTTGTGTGAGTTTGCGTCTCGGCCTGGATTTAATGACCCAAGAGCCCACTTTCAGGCAGGGATTATGGACAGCTGGGGGGCGGGGTGGAGTCAGGACACTTGTTAGACCACTGAATGGGGACAGAAAAAAATCCAACAATACAAAGGAAATGAACTCCCTTGAACAGGCCTAACATGACACTTGGGGTCTCACTACAATACACCCTGGGAAGTCAAAAAAAAAAACCCACACACACAGAGTTGGGCCCCGTGGAGGCTGCTCCCTTGCCCTCACCCCAGGCTCCAGGGAAGACAAGTGTTCTCCCTGTCCCCAGGGCTGGGTGGTGTCTGAGCACAGGGGCGGGGGGCTTCGGCCCCGGCAGGAGACCCCGCGCGGCCTGGCCGACAAAGGGGCCAGGGGCCTCCTCAGACACCGGTCATCGCAGAGACCCCGACTGGAACGGTGTCCTCCTGCCTGCTCTCTACCCCCTCCTGTTTTCGGGGTGTGTGTGTGTGTGTGTGTGTGCGCGCGCGTGCGTGTACCTGAGAAGCCCCAGAGATGGTGTGACCTGCAAGGTTGGGGTGGAAGGTTCTGGAAGGAGCACGGCCTGTCCGGCCTCCCCCGAGGCTTCGGTCTCCACACAGCCAGGGCCGTCCCCGCCTCGCCTCCTCTCCCTCGCTTGCTCCTTCCCTCCCTTCTCTGCACCTGGTGACGCCGTTGGCCCCTTTCCAGGGGTGAGGGGAACGAGCAGGGGCCCCTTCCTGGAAGTCCACCTGCGTGCAGGCCGGCCTGCTGGGAAGGGGCCTGCTCCTCGGCGGCCCCCACCGCCCCGGAGCCATTTCCTGGAAGCGGTCACTGTGGATATTCTGTTCCTTGTCAGCACTGTGCTAGCATAAAGCAGACAGCGAGCTCCTTGTCCTCCGGGAGCCCGTGCTCCCTCACCGAACACCTGGCCGGACACAGGCGGGCAGCCGGGTCCTTGGGGGGCGGCGCGGGCCTGGGGCCGGACCAGTAAACAAACGTGGGCGCCAGGCACGGGGGGGCCCCTCGTCCCTGCCCCTGGCCAGAGCTTGCACACGCCAGCTCGTGCCAAGGCCCGTCGGGTGCCCGTCCTGCGGGGCCGGGAGGCAGCTGAGAAGGGCTGGGGGGCACGTGCAGACCCTCAGGTGGCCCACGCTCTGCAGAGACCCATCCACTGGGGTGGGAGTCTCAGCGGGAGAGCCCGAGGGGCAGGCGCCCCACGGGGAGATGGGGAGGGCCCGGGTGATGGGGGAATAAGGGGGACGGAGCATCTGCCTCGAGCAGGGTGGGAAGACAGGCTCCCAGGGGCTTTGAGAGTGGGGGTGACAGGTGGGCAGCAGTGTTTGGAGCCCGTGGGTCTGGTCTGCAGCCCAGGGGGCGGGGAGGAGGAAGGCAGAGACTTTCTGAAGTCAGGGATGGGAGAGATAAGGACAGACCGCCTTCTGCACTGACGGAGCCCTGACGTGGGGGCACGGGGACCAGCCCGGGCCCCGGGGATCTGTGCACAGGGCAGGGCTGCAGCTCGGATGCTCCCAGGAGCTGGCCCAGGGTCTGGCCTTGGGGAACCATGACCGCTAGGGGCTGCGGAGGAGGAAGGCATGGCTCTGGGGTAAAGGAGGGGGGGCGGGACTTTGGGGGCCACATGTCCGGGGGGGGGGGGGGGAGAGCACAGCCCAGGCACGAGGCCCTCCTCTCCCTGTCCCTGCCTTTCACGTGCAGGCAGTGGTTTGGGTGGGACGTGCAGTAGGGGCCCAGGGGGAAGGCAGGGGCCCCTTGGGTTTATTCAGGTGGCTTTCAGATCACGCCCCGTGCGTGGCGGGGCCCACGGCACGCAGAGCAGCACACACAGAGCACCCCCCCCCACCACCAGGGGCTCCCCATTGGTCGGCAGTGACATCACCCCTGTGTCAACAGAGTCCGGCCTTTGGGGTTTATGGAGCAGGACCGACCTGCTGGGCCTCCGCCCTGCGCCCCACCCCCGGCCCACACACTGGCCCACTGTTCTGGGGTCTGGGGGCGGGGGGGGGGGGGGAGGTCGGGCCACAGCGTCCTGGCACGGTTTGCTCCTCCACCCGCACTGGAGTCCCCGCATCCCCCCCAGAAAACGTGGGGGGCCGTGGGCCTGTCCTCCACCTCCTGGTCCCTCCGGGAGAGGTCTGGAGGCCCTGGGGTGCAGGCGTGTGGCTTTGGGGGGCACAGCACAGCCTCTGTGGAGCCTCTCGGGCTGAGCGCTGTGGAGGGGCCACTAGTGGGGCCAGCCCCCAAGACCTCGGCAAAGGCAGAGGGGCTCCCCGTACTGCCCCTAAGCTCATGCTGACTGCCATCCCAGGACCGCGGGGCAGGACGGGAAGAGCCCCCTGGAGCAGGG